GTTGGAGGTCAAAGAAGCAGACGGAGACAGCACTCTCTTCTGTGGAATCAGAGTACATAGCGATGTTCCATGGGATCAAGGAGGTGTTTTGGCTAAGGAGGCTGTTAGAGGAGATTGGCCAGGAGCAGAAGGTTGCTACGCCGCTGTTCTGTGATAGCAAGGAGGCTCTTGGGATGGCCAGGAACGCTGTGCTTCATGGGCTCAATAAGCACATGCGTATCAAGTGGCACTGGTTGCGTAAAGAGGTGGAGAGGGGGACGGTGAATCCGATCTACATCAAGACTCACCAGCAGCCAGCAGACTTCCTCACCAAGAGACTTGCAGATGAGCCTCATTGGCGTTGTGTGCGCATGAGTGGAATGAGCATGAACTAGTATGGAATGATGGGGATGCAGCCAGCAGGCTGAGGGGGAGTGTGTTGGGTGCAAATTCACATTGCACGACATCCTGCCGTCTGTTTGTACGAGTATGCGTGTGCGAATGCATTTGGGTTTGAATGGAATGTTCGTGTGTTTGTTTGCTTTCGCAATTTTCGCTTGAAGCATTTGCAGGTACTCACGCATTGTTCGCTTCGGCATAACATTGTACGCGCTATGAACAGTACAAGCAGAAAGGACGAGCTCGCAAAGGAACCCAAGATGGAAGCTTTGCGGTTCGGCTTACTTGATTGCGCAGATTCAGTTCTATCCAACTTGAAATTGTACTGTTTTGTTTGGTTGACTATAGTGTAGCAGGGCAGGCACTATAGGGGTACAATTTAGGTGAAGGTTGGATGTTGTTTGTCTGTATCTGCATGCTACAGGGCCAGGGGAAACCAGCGGAACAAGCATTTGGCTGGTTGGGCAAAGACAAAACAGGTTCTGTTTTTAGGACCTGAACCTGGTTGTTGTTTTCCCAGGTTGGAAAAACAGAACCAGAGGTTGTTTACCAACCTACCACCTGCAGTTTTGTCCAGCCAGGTTGGTTCTGTTGCTTGGAATTATTTGGGATCATCCTTGGTTGTTCCCAGGTTTATTCCCAAGGTCCTTGCTAGCTAGAACTATTTATTCCTTCTCTGTTTGTACCTGGATATAGTGAAATTGATTAAAGCGAATTCCTTCCTTGCTGGAATTTCGTTTCTACGCAGTGCGACGGCGGAATGCTACCCGAGCTAACGCTAGTACGCTAGCACTCCAACACTAGGCAAACGCTGTCCGAGCCATAACTTCCTAATGGCAGAACTTTTCGCGAGGCAACTTGGTTCATTTTAAATCTTTTGGAGCGAGCTTCGATATAGGAAATTATCAGCTTAATCCGATCGACGGTCTGCACGATACGCTGCGCGACGTTCAAGGTAGTCTTGCTGATTTGACTAAGTCCATCTTGATACCTCTCTCTATAAACTCGGACCCGAGGATAGGGGCTGGTCTTGTACCAGGCACCCAAGGACCCTTGGAGGTGACCCCGAGGAGAGGTTTTAAGTGTGATAAAGTCTTAATAGCTTGAGTTTATTAGGCCCTTACATCAACAGGAAGAAGGTCTGGAAGAAGTCAACTCCCTGTCGCTGACTGAAGCCTCGTGCAATGTAACGCGCCTTGAAGACAGGCAGAGAACCCGGCGGCGGCTTCACCCTGAAAGTCCTCATTCCACTGACGATGTTCGCCTCAGGAGGGGGAACCTCGTTGACGTAAGTGCCTGTGGACTTCTAGGTAGCCATCTCTGCGTCCATGGCTGACTGCTACTGAGAGGAGTAGGGACGCTCTATCTCCTCTGCGTAAGAGCGCGAGGTCGGGATGTCTGGTGCATCCGGGTCTCCCTCAGGTGCAATCAGCATGGAAACGAGATGAAGTACAGCAGCTGCAAAACTCTCCAAGTCCTCATGCCTGTCCTCAAGGACGTCCGTGCCAAGAGCACACTCACCCCCCACGGACGGAGGACAGACTGACTCAGACTCTCCAACAAGACTATTGGCGTAGTCGAGACAACTAAGGCAGCGAGCAGCAAAGTCCACAAGCTCAGCAACTAAGGCAGACGTAGCAGTGGACTCAAAGAGGACCAAGAACCTCCAGGCTCAGCACGCTCAGGATCAGCACCTCTAGGCTCCACATGCTCATGCTTAGCACCCCCAAGCTCCGCACCCTTAGACCCAGCAACCCAAGGCTCAGCACCCTTAGGCTCCGCGACCTCGGACTCAGCAACCGCAGGTTCAGCACCCCTAGGCTCCGCATGCTCAGGCTCAGCACCTTCAGGCCCCGCACCCACAGGCTCAGCACCCCTAGTAGCACCAGAGTGGACAGCTACCTCGACAGGCTCGACAGGGTTTACCTGGGACACACCTGAGGGGGCAGGACCCTGAGGGGGAAGGGGGTCTACCGGAGGAGGACGTGGTGCTAGGAAGAGCGGCGGGGGGGGGGGGAGACGGGCAGTGCGGTAGGGGAAGAGACGGTAGTAAGGAACCGACTGTCAAACATGACGTCCTGAGAGGACAGAACATGATGCGAGGTGGGGTGGTAAAACTGCCAACCAGGCATGTCATCTTGTGTCCATGCTGCTTGCCCCTTAGGGAGACCCGGATGCACTTGACATCCCAACCTTGCGCTCTTACGCAGAGGTGATAGAGGGTCCCTACTCCTCTCAGTGGCAGTCAGTCATGGACGCATAGATGGCTACCTGGAAGTCCACAGGCACTTACGTCGACGAGGTTTTCAGGGCATGTGGATTTTCAGGGTGAAGTGGCCGCCGGGTTCCCCGCCTGTCTTCAAGGCGCGTTACGTTGCACGAGGCTTCAGTCAGCGACAGGGAGTTGACTTCTTCTAGACCTTCTCCCCTACCCCGACGATGACAACTCTTCGGGTTCTGCTGCACGGGGCCGCTCAGCGTGAGTACGAGCTTCACTCTCTTGACTTCAGCACTGCTTTCCTACAGGGCAGCCTGCACGAGGAGATCTGGCTGCGCCGCCCACTTGGCTTCACTGGGTCGTTTCCTGTAGGTTCCTAGTGGAGCCTCCAGCGGCCAGTCTACGGTCTCCGACAGGTGCCTCGCGAGTGGCATGACACACTGAAGACGACTCTTGCGGCTCTTGGGTTTGCTCCCTCTACTGCTGAACCGTCGCTATTTCTACGCACCGACACTTCGCTGGCGCCGTTCTACATCCTCCTGTACGTCGACGACTTGGTCTTTGCCACTACTGACACTGCTGGACTGGCCCACGTGAAGTCAGAGCTGCAGAAGAGACACACGTGCACAGACTTGGGTGAGCTGCGCAGTTACCTTGGCTTGCAGATCACCCGGGACAGAGCACGCCGCACCATCACACTGACTCAGTCACACATGGTGCAGCAGGTCCTTTAGCGCTTCGGCTTCACCTGGTCCTCACCACTGGCCACTCCTCTGGCTACAGGCCACTCGCTCTCAGCTCCACCTTTGGACGAGTCCGTAGAGCCGAGTGGTCCTTACCTAGAGCTAGTGGGCTGCCTCATGTACATGATGGCTTGCACTCGTCCTGACCTTGCGTACCCTCTTGGCCTTCTGGCTTGCTACGTGGCTCCTGGTTGGCTCTGAAAGGTGCACATGGATGCTGCTAAGACGGTACTGCGCTACTTGTGCAGTACACCGGGCATGGGGCTCTTGCTTGGAGGGAGGAGCTCAGTTGTCCTCACTGGGCACTTGGATGCTTCTTGGGTTGACGACCTGGCTACGCAGCGGTCGTCACAGGGTTACACCTTCCGCCTTGGCTCTGGCTCTGTTTCTTGGCAGTCTACACGCTCGTCCTCTGTTCTCGGCTCCAGTTGTGAGGCTGAGATCTACGCCACAGCCATGGCTGCACAGGAGCTACGCTGGCTCACCTACCTGCTGACCGACCTTTGCTAGCGGCCTTGTTCTCCTCCAGTACTGTACGTAGACAACAAGGCCGCCATTGCCTTGTGTCAGGAGCACAGACTGGAGCACAGAACGAAGCACACCGCTCTGCGTTACTTCTTCGCTCGAGAGTTGCAGCAGCGTGGTCAGCTTCGTCTTGCTCACGTGGCCACTGGGGCCAACACTGCTGATTTACTCACCAAGGCACTTCCGTCTGGTGATGATCAGCATTTTTGCACTTTGTTAGGCCTTGTGCCCACGTTTCCTCACTTACTGTAGATTTTGCTTGTACTGTGATCTATATATATACCTTCATGCTTGCTCTGCTAGGTAGAGATGATTGTGCTGTTATTGTTGCATATATACCTCTGCATGTGAACTGGCCTTGTGGCCCTTTGCTTGTGCTCAGTGTGTGTGGTGACGTTGTGATCCACCGTGAGCTTGCTTTGCTTCTCTTGACTCGTCTTTTGACCCCTTGTTCTCCCCCAATTTGCCTATGGGGGTGGGTCAAAGTATATACATGCTATTCATGTGTAGGCTGTAGTGGGGTAGCCAATATGGGGTATAGCCCCGTTCAGAGTTTCATACTTGTACCCTACTCTTTCATAGTGCATTCATTCCTGATGCTAGATTCTAGCACGCTCGTGACCCTGTCCACGGACGCGGGCTGGGCCCCACACGTCCATGTGGAGAGTCTGTAGGGGAGCCTTTGCCGGATGGAACTCGGAGGATTGAGGAGCGGCGCGCTGCCGTCCCCCAACGCAAGGAACGCAGGTAGGGGCAGGCCCCGGTGGGAGGGGAGGGAGAGACCGGGGGAGACTAGTGACAAGGATACGGGACGCCATACCTAAAAGACGAGGCAGGGAGGGGTGACCTAGGCGGTGGTGCCAAAGGAGAGTCTGGAATGACAGGAGACGACACGAACAGGGGGTAGACTCAGGACCAGACCTGGACGCGGCATCAAACACCTGACCAGACGTGGCTACCTGACCAGACGCAGCAACCGGAGGAGACTCAGTAGTCAGTGTGTACAGGCTGGACCCAGGCTGACGAGTGAACGTGGCCAGGTGGCAGCCCGTCCGAGTACACGTACAGTGGGTCACCCGCTGACCTCCAGGAATGAACTGGTTAACCCACACATCCTAGAGGTCAGCTCCACTCACCAAGTTCGTAGAGAACAAGGGGAGGTGAAGACCCGACAGTGAGCCAGACGGGACCGCCGTACAGGCAAAACCGTAGAGGAGTGCGCAAGGACAGGGCCTCCAGAGGGGTCCGCCAGGGAGACTGCAACTGGCCGACTGAGCGGCGTGAGTGTGGTTCTCTCGCGAAAGAAGGAGCGGGAAGCACCTGAGTCAAGCGTGAAGGTGTGCAATGCCTCAGCAGACGCAGTATTTGAGAGAGCAGACTCACTAGTACCTGGAGCAACAGACTTAGTAGCACCTAGAGCAGCAGCCTCAGCACTACTTGTCACAGCATACATGGCAGCAAGGATAGCATCAAAATTCAGATCAAAGATAGCAACACCAGACTTAAGCAGATCAGCCCAGCGAGGGAGCTCAGCGGCGTCAAGAAACTGTGCGCACCAGGTGTTAGACAGGCGACCGAAACAGCGCTGCGTCGTGTGTGGCAGCCCGCACGTCTCCCTACGGCGCTCGCCGGTGCAGAGAACGTAAGCGCAGGGACCTGCACCCCCAGACCTCCCACACCTAGCGTACCACTCACGAAGATGCTGGGGTGACGAGGCCTCACGGGAACGCGGCTGCTGCTTTCGCTGACTACCGCCAAAGCGTCCACGCTGCGCGGCTCCACTCCTACCAGCACCACCACCGCCGCCACCCTCACTGCCGCTGCCGCTGCCTCCACCACCTCCACCGCCGCCACTGACGCCCCAACTCTCGCCACCACCCCCACCTCCACCCCCACCCTTTCCGCCTCCTCCACCGCCACCACCGCCGCCTCCGCCGTCCCCTCCACCACCCTTGCCCCCCTTGCTCTTGCCGCTGTGGCGCCTCCCACTAGGAGCAGACGCAGTCCCGACCTCCTCGCTGCCAACGAGGTCGATAGCAGCAGCAGAAGCAACAGAGGGCAAAAGGAGAACGAAAGGAACACCCCTCAAAGAAAGGGGCACGAGGGTCGCCACAAGAAGCTCCTACTGCGACTATGCTAGTCTCAGCTGCGGTGAGGCGCTCCTCGAGCAGATGGACGGTGAGCTCGCTGAGGCAAAGGGAGAAAAAGTGGTCCTTGACTGAGCAAAAAGAGTTAGGGAGACGGGTGACGAGGTAGAAGAGGGTGATGTACATGGGGGTGGTTCTGTTGGTGTAAGGGCCTAATAAACTCAAGCTAATAAGACTTTATCAAACTTAAAACCTCTCCTCGGGGTCATCTCCAAGGGTCCTTGGGTGTCTGGTACAAGACCAGCCCCTATCCTCCGGTCCGAGATTGTAGAGAGAGGGATCAAGAATGACTTAGTCAAAATAACAAGAGTACCTTGAACGTCGCGCAGCGTATCGTAAAGACCGTCGACCGGACTAAGCTGAGAATTTCCTATATCGAAGCGCACTCCAAGAGCTTCAAAATAAGCCAAGTTGCCTCGCGAAAAGTTCTGTCATTACAAAGTTATGGCTCGGACAGCGTTTGCGTCGCGTTGGAGAGCTAGCGTACTAGCGTTGACTCGTAGAAACGAAAATCCAGGGAGGAATTCGCTTGAATCAAATTGACTATGTTCAGGTACAAGCAGAGAAGGAATAAATAGCTCTAGCTAGCAAGGACCTTGGGAATCAACCTGGGAACAACCAGGGATGATCCCAAATAATTCCAAGCAGCAGAACCAACCTGGCTGGACAAAACAGCAGGTGGTAGGTTGGTAAACAACCTCTGGTTCTGTTTTTCCAACCTGGGAAAACAACAACCAGGTTCAGGTCCTAAAAAACAGAACCTGATTTGTCTTTGCCCAACCAGCCAAATGCTGGTTCCACTGGTTTCCCCTGGCCCTGTAGCAAGCAGATACAGACAAACAACATCCTACCTTCACCTAAATTGTACCCCTATAGTGCCTGCCCTGCTACACTATAGTCAACCAAACAAAAAAGTACAATTTCGAGTTGGATAGAACTGAATCTGCACAATCAATTCAACCGAACTATTAAGCTTCCATCTTGGGTTCCTTTGCGAGCTCGTCCTTTCTGCTTGTACTGTTCATAGCACGTACAATGTTGTGCCGAAGCGCACAATGCGCGGATACCTGCAAATGCTTCAAGCGAAAATTGCGAAAGCAAACAAACACACGAACATACCATTCTCACGCAAATGCATTCGCACACGCATACTCGTACAAACAGACGGCAGGATGTCGTGCAATGTGAATTTGCACCCAACACACTCCCCTTCAGCCTGCCGGCTGCATCCCCATCATTCCATACTAGTTCATGTTGTGCCGAAGCGCAAATGTTGTGCCGAAGCGCACAATGCGCGAGTACCTGCAAATGCTTCAAGCGAAAATTGCGAAAGCAAACAAACATACGAACATACCATTCTCACGCAAATGCATTCGCACACGCATACTCCTACAAACAGACGGCAGGATGTCGTGCAATGTGAATTTGCACCCAACACACTCCCCTTGAGCCTGCCGGCTGCATCCCCATCATTCCATACTAGTTCATGCTCATTCCGCTCATCCGCACACAACGCCAATGAGGCTCATCCGCAAGCCTCTTGGTGAGGAAGTCTGCTGGCTGCTGGTGAGTCTTGATGTAGATCGGATTCACCGCCCCCCTCTTCACCTCCTTACGCAACCAGTGCCTCTTGATACGCATGTGCTTATTCAGCCCATGAAGCACAGCGTTCCTGGCCATCCCAAGAGCTCCCTTGCTATCACAAAACAGCGGCGTAGCAACCTTTTGCTCCTGGCCAATCTCCTCTAACAGCCTCCTCAGCCAAATCACCTCCTTCACCCCATGAAACATCGCCATGTACTCTGATTCCACAGAGAGAGTGCTGTCTCCATCTGCTTCTTTGACCTCCAACTAACAGATCCTCCTCCAACTACGCAGATGTATCCTCCCACAGATGAGGAATCCTCCTTCTCAGAGGCCCACGTAGCATCGGTAAAGCAAGTGAGAAAGAGCTTGCCTTCTCCAAGCCTCTCCCCCTTCTCTTTCAGCACCTCAACCCCTTTCTGCTTCACCTGTGCAGATGCGGAGTATTGAACTCTAATGTGTTGGGTGCAAATTCACATTGCACGACATCCTGCCGTCTGTTTGTACGAGTATGCGTGTGCGAATGCATTTGCGTGTGAATGGTATGCTTGTGTGTTTGTTTGCTTTCGCAATTTTCGCTTGAAGCATTTGCAGGTACTCGCAAAATGTGCGCTTCGGCATAACATTGTACGCGCTATGAACAGTACAAGCAGAAAGGACGAGCTCGCAAAGGAACCCAAGATGGAAGCTTTGCGGTTCAACTTACTTGATTGCGCAGATTCAGTTCTATCCAACTCGAAATTGTACTGTTTTGTTTGGTTGACTATAGTGTAGCAGGGCAGGCACTATAGGGGTACAATTTAGGTAAAGGTTGGATGTTGTTTGTCTGTATCTGCATGCTACAGGGCCAGGGGAAACCAGCGGAACCAGCATTTGGCTGGTTGGGCAAAGACAAAACAGGTTCTGTTTTTAGGACCTGAACCTGGTTGTTGTTTCCCCAGGTTGGAAAAACAGAACCAGAGGTTGTTCACCAACCTATCACCTGCTATTTTGTCCAGCCAGGTTCGTTCTGTTGCTTGGAATTATTTGGGATCATCCCTGGTTGTTCCCAGGTTGATTCCCAAGGTCCTTGCTAGCTAGAGCTATTTATTCCTTCTCTGTTTGTACCTGAATATAGTGAAATTGATTCAAGCGAATTCCTTCCTTGCTGGAATTTCTTTTCTACGCGGTGCGACGGCGGAATGCTACCCGAGTCAACGCTAGTACGCTAGCACTCCAACGCTAGGCTAACGCTGTCCGAGCCATAACTTCGTAATGGCAGAACTTTTCGCGAGGCAACTTGACTTATTTTAAAGCTCTTAGAGTGAGCTTCGATATAGGAAATTCTCAGCTTAATCCGATCGACGGTCTGCACGATACGCTGCGCAACGTTCAAGGTACTCTTGCTGTTTTGACTAAGTCCCTCTTGATCCCTCTCTCTACAAACTCGGACCCGAGGATAGGGGCTGGTCTTGTACCAGGCACCCAAGGACCCTTGGAGGTGACCCCGAGGAGAGGTTTTAAGTGTGATAAAGTCTTAATAGCTTGAGTTTATTAGGCCCTTACACCAACAAGCTGGTATCAGAGCTGCGTTATAGTGATCCTCGATATAGGTAGCTATGGCGGGCAACACCTCGGCGGTAGCTGGTGAATCTTCAGCCCAAGATCGTAGCGGCAGCCATGATTCTGGTGTTTCTGCGCCAAGGGGAGCGCGAACAAGCCAGGGCTCGCTGATCAAGGAGGTGCTGAAAAACTTCACCGTCGAGAAGTTCAATGGTGAGGGCTATGATGATTGGGCCTGGAAAATGCAACTTTATTTCCGTCAAATCGGATTGCTGAAACTAATGATTGGGGAGGAGCCTAGACCGAGTGACCCCGCCCTTCAGGAAGATTGGGATGAGCGCGCCTCGGCTGGCTACTACTTGATGTCGCAGAGTTTGGAGCTGAACCAGCGTCACCACGTCATGCACCTGCTGCCGGAGGTTGAGTGCGGTCCGAAGGCGTGGACGGTGTTGAAGGAGCTGCACGCCCCGACCTCCGTTGTTGCAACATTGATGCTGAAAGGGAGCTGTCCGCGTTGCGCCTGAGCGAGGGAGAGCCGGTACAACCTGTCCTGGACAAATTGCGCGACCTCTACGCGAAGTTGGCGACCGCGGGAATCACCTACCCGGAGCAAACAAAGTGCTTGAAGATGCTCTCGCTGCTGCCGGAATCGTGGCTTCAATTTACGAGCGGATTGAGCCTGCCGCAGAACCAGAGCTTGTGGACGCTCGAGTGGGTGCGGACGAAGATTCTGGAGGAGGACTTCCGTCGCCGCCAACTGAGGGGTGGAGACGACGGCAGCAGCGGCTACGGGATGCAAGGGAGCCGACGTGGCAAAGGACGTGGCTTCGGTGGTGCTGGACGCGGTGCAAAGAAAGACGACGACTCCAACGACCAACAAGGAGGTACCGGTTGGGGTCGCGGTGCGAAATCTGGACGTGGGGGCAAGTCGGGTGCTGGTGGCAAAATGAAAGGGAGTTGCTGGTATTGTGAGAAGGAAGGGCACCCCTGGTTTTTGTGCTATAAGAAACCCGATGGATGGACCCCCCAGAATCGTCACCAGGATGGCGGCGCGCGGAGGAACCAGAAAAAACGGCGCCAACATGGTCGCTGATTCGTCCGACAACAACCCGAAGGGCAACGGCGGTGCGGAGAAGAAGAAGGAGCGCACCGCGGGCCAATTCTTCCATATGGGAGACAAGGGGGAGCAAGGAGACGCATCTGCTAAGGCTAGAGCAGAGCTGCACCCCCTGGACTATTGGGTGTTGGACACAGGCGCTGCTTGGACAATGACGCCGCGCAAGGACCTGCTGGACGACGTACGCGCTGCACCGATTAATGAGGTGTGCTCTGCCTCTGGACACATGTTGAAGGTGGCTGGTGCGGGACGAGCTGCATTTAAGGGAGCGGATGGCAAGCCGGTGGTGCTGCACGACGTTCTCCTCGTCCCCGACCTGAAGGCCAACCTCATCTCCCTCCGTAAGCTTGGCAAGGCTGGGGTGAACACCAACACGGATGGGGCTCGCACTTATAAGGGGAAGCTGGGCAATCGGGTGCTTTGGGATCTGCACGAGAGCAAGGACGTGTACAGATCTATGTGGCAGCTGCCGGCGCTGGCGTGGCACGGTGGGGGGCAGGCTGGAGAGGGGTCTGCATCCCAGGGGGAGTGCAACGCCGTTGGAGGGGTTGGTGTGAAAGGGTCGGCCAGATCTGGGGAGACAGATTGGGCAACTGCACACCGACGTTTTGGGCATGTGGCAATGCCTTTGCTGAAGCAGCTGGAGAAGGATGGAGCCGTTAAGGGCTTAAAGCTGAACGGACAACCACCCGATGATAACTGTGAAATTTGCCTCCTTTCAAAGTTCACCCGTTTCCCCTTCCATAGTGTGGCTGGCAGGAGCAAAAAGCCGTTGGAGCTGGTCCACATGGACTTGGTGGGGCCGCTGCCGGTGCAAGGGCACAAGGGGGAGCGGTACTTCCTAACCATAGTGGATGACTGGAGCAGGCTAATGTGGGCGTATCCGCTGAAGCAGAAAGATCACGCCGCCTCCACGATTCGGGACGATTGGCTGCCGTTCGTGGAGAAGCAAGCGGAGTGTGTGGTGAAGCGGATTAGGACAGATCGGGGTGGTGAGTTCCTTGGAACTGACATGACGGCCTGGCTCAAGAAGCAGGGCATCCAGAGGGAGCTGACCACGGCTTACACCCCACAGTCCAACGGTGTAGCAGAACGGGCGAACCGGACAATTCTGGAGACAGCTAGGGCGCTGCTCATAGAATCTGGGCTGGGCAACTTGATGTGGCCCCATGCTGTTCGGCACGCTACCGTCGCTAGGAACAGGGTACTCACAAAGGTTGGGGATGACTCGTGGGTGCCGTTGGAGAGGTGGCTTGGGAGGAAGCCGCCGGTGGACATGCTGAGGGTGTTCGGTTGCATGGCAGTCGCCCACGTTCCCAAGACCTACCGCAGTAAGTTGGGGGCGAGTGCAATCTGGTGTGTGCATTTGGGGTTGGCTGCTGAGAGCAAGGGATGGCTGCTGTGGGAGCCTTCCAAGGGTGTGTTGTTTGACAGCAGGGATGTGAAGTTTGTTGAGGGCATGATGTATGGGAGCTGGGAGAAACAGCCGGAGGCCAGGGTGTCCCAGCAGATGGAGCAGATTACCATGCAGCTGGACCTGACTCCTAGTGTGTGGGAGGAGGGAGAGGAGGCAGCTGCAGAGGGTGGTGATAAAGAGAAGGTGCAGGAGGCACCTGCTGGTGGAGGTGATGGTGTGGAGATTAGCGGTAGCACTAGTGGAGCTGCTGGATCCGAGGGAGGAGAGCAGCAGCAGGGGAAAACTAAGAAGCCGAAGGGTGTTATTATGAAGGGATGGGAGACACCCGTCTCCAGGCCAGGACGTACCCGTATGGCTACTAAGAAGCTGACTGCAGGAGCTGATGTAGCGGAGCAGCAGCTTGGGACCGAGGAGGCATTGCTGATTCTACCACATGGCTATGACCCGGATGAGGAGGATGAGCCTGCGTACTGTTTTCTTGCCCCTGCACCAGAGGAACCAGCTAGCATGGAGGAGGCATTAGCTGGACCAGATAGGGACAAATGGCTAGCTTCCAGGGGTGCTGAGTACCAGAGCCTGCTGGAGAATGGGACTTGGGAACTAGTGGTGCTGCCTGAGGGAAAGAAAGCGGTACAATGCAAGTGGGTGCTAAGGATCAAGACTGACGACAAGGGGCAGGTCACCATCTACAAGAGTAGGTTGGTGGCTAAGGGGTTTATGCAGAA